TCCATCAGAAATATGGTTTTATTAGTAAAAAGTGTGCAATCTCAAGATCCTTGGAGATTTTTCTGTTGCACTAGAGGCAACGGCACATGGGAGGTGTAGTGAAGCCAGCCAATAATGTTCCAAAGAAGAGCCCTGCTGACCAGGCCAGTGGTCCATCTGGCCCCACATTCTGTTCACACAGTGGCCACCCAGCTGCCCACAGGATCCCACAAGCTGGATATGGGTGTGCAAAAGCACCCTCCACCCATGTTCTCCAGCACCTGGGGCACATGGCTCTGTTGCCAGAAGTAGCACAGAGCTATGAAGAATGGCAGCCATTAACCACCTTCTCTTCCAGTCTCCTTTAAATCTCTCCAGATGGGTGGCCATCCTTTCTCACAGCAATGAATGCCATTCCCCACCGATCAACTTTGTGGGGTGACTCCTTGAGCATTATGGGGGATGGAGAAAAAGTTCCCCACCCCCACTTGCTCCACACCAGGCATAATTCCCTATACCCCTGCCACGTGTCCCCTTACTTGCCAATTTGCTAAGCTACAAAGCCTCAGCAGCTTTAACCTTCCCACAGGAGAATTGCTCCAAAGCCTGAATCATGTTAGTTGCCCTTTTCTGCACTTTTTCTAGTTCTACAAGATCCCTTTTTAAGTGTGCTGAGCAAAACTGTACACAACATTCTATCTTTCATTGCACCATAGAATGTATATAAGGGGAGTAAGATTTTGGCAGGTTTATTTTCCATTCCTTCCCTAATTATACCTGACCTGGAGCTAGCCTTTTGCACAGCAGCTGCACACTGGGACAACATTTTCATCCAACTGTGCACCACAAACCCAAGATCTCCTTCTTGCTCAGTTACTGCCAGCTCAGATCCCATTAGCCTATTCCTGACCTTGGGATTTTGTAACCCAATGTGCATCATTTCATTCTTGATCTTCCATAGCAGGGTGTAGTGTACAAATCCAGTCACTCAGAGAGCCCATTTCATATTTTTATTAACTTGGGAGGGGAACGTTGCTGCATTAAGAGCAGAAAAGCATTTTTGTTACATAACGAATCCAGCTCTGTCTTTTTAGCCCCACTCTGGTAACAGCCTTTTTTCTCTGCATGCTACAGCATGCTCTCCTTTTTCTCACTGCTATTTCTTCTCCCTGTTATTTCTTCTCTGCCATCCCGTAGTGCTTTCTTTCCACACCCCATGGCTATTATACCCAGCAAACTTGAGGGGCAATGCACCTCCAAAGGAGACATTTGCCCACTAGTTTTCCTTGAAAGTTTTGGGATGGTTTGCCAGGGTCCTGGACATGCTGCCAGAAAGAGCATGCATTGCAGTAGCTTTGCATTCACACAGACACAGCACGAAGCAAAGGAAACATTATTCAGCAAAAAATAGAGAGCAGGCACAAGCTTGTAACCTGATGTGGTCTAGGCAGCAATTCTTCCTACTGCATCCTGGCCTTACTCTATACTTCTCACCAATAAAAGAGCTCCTGCCTAACAGCCTTAGAAAGAGGGAGAAAGAATTCAAGCCTACTCCCTGGCTGTCAGTTATCTTGCACAGTAGCCCCTTGCATTAACGGGACAGGTGCAAGTCACTCACACGCCAGGCTGGGCACCAGGTCTGTGCTCAGAGCTCACCCAGCTTCATTTTCCAAGTCCCTGGTCCGTGTGCTTGTCCCATCTGTAGCTGAAGGGGGAGGTTCCATGGTGGTTTCCCAGACCAGTGCTATTGGTTAGTGGGTGCTTGTTGATGCCTTTTCTATTGTCTGCTGAGAGACCATGTCTGTTTTCTTTAGGTAAAAAGGTGGGACGACGCTACACATGGACCTCACCAGACGGTCAACACAGAAATCAGATTGACTGTGTGCTCTGCAGCCAAAGATGGAGAAGCTCTATACAGTCAGTAAAAACTAGACCAGGAGCTGACTGTGGCTCAGATCATGACCTTCTTGTTGCAAAATTTAGGCCTAAATTGAAGAAAGTAGGGAAAAGCACTAGGCCACTCAGGTATGAGCTAAACCATATCCCTGATGAATATACAGTAGAGGTGACAAATAGATTTAAGGAATTAGATCTGATAGAGTGCCTGAAGAACTATGGATGGAGGTTCACAACATTGTACAAGAGATAGCATCTAAAAGCATCCCAAAGAAAAAGAAATGCAAGAAAGCAACATGGCTGTCTGAGGAAGCTTTACAAATAGTTGAGGAAAGAAGGGAAGCAAAAGGCAAGGGAAAAAGAGAAAGATACAAACAATTGATTGCAGAATTCCAGAGAATAGCTAGAAGAGATAAGAATGCCTTCTTAAATGAACAGTGCAAAGAAACAGAAGAAAACAATAGAATAGGGAGGACCAGAGATCTCTTCTAGAAAATTGGTGATATGAGGGGTACATTTCAAGCAAAGATGGGCATGATAAAGGACCAAAATGCCAGGGACCTAACAGAGGCAGAAGAGATTAAGAAGAGGTGGCAAGATTACACAGAACTATACAAGAAAGAGCTTAATGTCCCTGATAACCATGATGGGGTGGTCACTGACCTCGAGTCAGACATCCTGGAATGAGAAGTCAAATGGGCTTTAGGAAGTCTGAGCAACAACAAAGCTAGTGGAGATGACAGTATTCCAGCTGAGCTATTCAAAACCCTAAAAGACGATGCAGTAAAAGTGCTACACTCAATATGCCAGCAAATTTGGAAAACTCAACAGTGGCCACAGGATTGGAAAAGGTCAGTTTACATTCCGATCCCAAAGAAGAGCAATGCCAAAGAATGTTCAAACTACTGCACCATTGCACTCATTTCACATGCTAGCAAAGTTATGCTCAAAATCCTACAAGCTAGGCTCCAGCAGTATGTGAATGGGAGTACCAGACCATCTTATTTGTCTCTTGAGAAACCTATATGTGGGTCAAGAAGCAGCAGTGAGAACTGGACACGGAACCACTGATTAGTTCAAAACTGAGAAAGGAGTTCGGCAAGGCTGTATATTGTTGCCCTGACTATTTAACTTATATGCAGAGCACATCATGAGAAAGTTGGAATTACGATTGCCAGGAGAAATATCAACAACCTCAGATATGCAGATGATACCACTCTCATGGCAGAAAGTGAAGAGGAACTAAAGAGCCTCTTGATGCAGGTGAAGGAGGAGAGTGCAAAAGTTGGCTTGAAACTCAACATTAAGAAAACTAAGATCATGGCATCTGGTCCTCTCACTTTCTGGCAAATAGATGGGGAAGAAATGGAGGTAGTGACAGATTTTATTTTCCTGGGCTCCATGATCACCACAGATGGGGACTGCAGCCAAGAAATTAAAAGATGCTTGCTCCTGGGGAGGAAAGCTATGGCAAATCTAGACAGCATACTAAAAAGCAGAGCCATCACTCTGCCAACAAAAGTGTGTATAGTCAAGGCTATGGTTTTCCCAGTTGCAATGTATGGCTGCGAAAGCTGGACCATAAGGAAGGCTGAGCGCCGAAGAATTGAGGCCTTTGAATTGTGCTGCTGGAGGAGACTCCTGAGAGTCCCTTGGACTGCAAGGCAATCAAACCGGTCAGTCCTAGAGGAGATCAATCCTGACTGCTCTTTAGAAGGTCAGATCCTGAAGATGAAACTCAAATACTTTGGCCACCTAATGAGAAGGAAGGACTCCCTGGAGAAGAGCCTAATGCTGGGAACAATACATGACAAAAGAAGAAGGGGACGGCAGAGGATGAGGTGGCTGGATGGAGTCACTGAAGCAGTTGGTGTGAACGTGAGTGGACTCCGGGGGATGGTGGAGGACAAGAAGGCCTGGAGGAATGTTGTCCATGGGGTCGCGATGGGTCGGGACTAACAACAACAACAGCAGCATTTTGCCTGTATTTGCTGGCTGCTATTGATGAGGTAATTCCCAGGTGTCTCTGGATCTGGGAGGGTTGCTTTGCATAATCTCTTTAAGGGGAAGTATCTTTTCACCTGACCTTTTCTCAGTGAGAATTCCAGTGCTGTTTATTCATAATTCATTCTTATCTCAGTCACACTGGATCGGTAGTCCCTCCTCCTGAATTACAGCTTACCCAACATGGTCCATGGCCTGGGAACCTGTCCTTATGAAACTAATATCATTATGTTAGCACTACATGTCTCTTTTTGTTTCTGAGTCCACAAGTCCTTCTCTACCCCTCTCATTTTCCTTCTTCCCTCTCTCACAGCTCTCTTTCTCTTTCACCAGAATTTAAGAAGAGCTTTATTAGATCAAATCCTGCATTCGGTTTCCAGCACTGGCCACTCAAATGCTTCAACAGGAGGAGGCCCATGAGGAGGTGCACATGGTCATGCTGCTCACAGGCTTTCCCCGTTGCCTGTCCCCCAGATTTGTACCCCAGCCGTGTTCCGCCTCTGTACTTTGAGTTCCCATGTTGCTTCTGTGACCCCGGATAGCCCTAGACTCCACTAATGTTGTTCACTCCTTTTTAAAAAGCCACGTGAGCCAGGGTCCCTTGTGACATCTTGGGGTCGTAAGTGCCATTGATCAATTGTGTTGTCTGAAGTAGTGCATTGTGTTGCCTGTTCTGATGCGGAATCTCCTGTTCTTCTGCCTCTTTGGGCGATTCCACATTCCAAGAGGGAAAACAAGTTCTCTGCATAGTGGCTTTTAAAAATGGGAAATGAAACTGGATGATGATGATGACAACCTCTGAAACACCTGTAAGCAACACTGAGCATGAAATGACAAGAGCACAGCAAAAGCTACTTCTAGAAATGTTCTTTAGCAGTATACTGGGCTGGGAGGGTCATTTCCTTTGTTTGAATTCTTTTGTCGCAAGGAGCACCACTTTTCACAGTCTAAATACTACCTACCATTTTGTTGCTCATCTGTCACCTTCTTTGGAGAGATCTTGTTGATGATCTCCACAGGTTGCTTGAGGTTATGCCACCATCCTGAACATGGAGGTATCTTCCAGAAACTGGACTGTGTTTTCCCCATTGCCACTTGCTCACTCCCCCAATATATCTTACATGTTTGCAGGATTGCATGAACGTGCTAGGTCTGAGCCGACGGAGAAAACATTGGATTTTGTCCTTTCCCCAGTCCTGCAAAGACTAACCCAGTTATTCTGTATTCTAGAAAGAAGCACCAACGAGCCAGGAAGATGGAAAATCACACATGCACCATTCATCTTGATGGGGCTCTTGACTGTACAGGAGTTGCAAGACGTTCTGTTTGCACCATGCCTACTGCTCTGTCTGTGCCTGATAAGTGGCAATAGTGCTATTGTTGTCATGATCTGCTTGGATGCCCGACTTCACTTTCCTATGTATTTTTTCCTGTGTAATTTCTCTGTGGTAGAGTTGATGGTAACAACGACAGTAATCCCAAGGATGCTCACATATCTGATGGCTGAAAGGAAAGCCATCTCCTTTGGTGGGTGTCCGACTCAGTTTTACTTCTGCTTTTCTCTGGGAACCACAGTGTTCCTTCCACTGGCTGTAATGTCAATCGACTGCTATGTTGCCATCTACAACCCTCTGCACTATTCCACCTTCCTGAGCAGCCGTGTCTGCATCCAGCTTGCCTTGGGATCATGGATGATTTCCTTCTTCTCCATGATCCCTCCATCAATTTTCAGGGGCCTCCTGTCATTTTGCAGATCCAACCAGATTCTGTGACAATGCCCCCTTGCTCAGACTCTCCTGCTCAGATACTCACCACTCTGAGCTCTGGGATTTCCTTCTTACAATTCTGTTTGTCTTAAGCTCTTTTACTGTGACAATAGCATCCTATGTTGCAATCATATCTACCATCTTGAGGATCCCATCTGCTACTGGCCATCAAAAGATGTTCTCCACCTGTGCCTCACACCACACTGTGGTGGTCATTGGCTATGGCACCACCATCTAAAAACTATTCCACAAATATGAACAAAATGGTGGACCTGTTGACATCTATTGTGACTCCATTTCTAAATCCCTTCATCTTCACTTTGAGGAATTAAGAAAGTCAAAGAGGTCTTCCAAGACTGGTTGGGACACCTAAGAGGCTTGTAGAGAAAAAATCTGTGATTGGTGTGCATTCAGAAACTATCACAATTGTTTCCCTGGATCAGATAGTCTAGTAGATTACCTCTGACCACTCACAAAAAGAAAGGGAAATTATCCTGCAAACATCTTTACTCCCAGAAGCCTTCTTTGACTGACCAGCCATGTTTATTACAACAAAATGTTCAATACACTGGTTTTATTCTTGTTATCTTTTATTGTTCACTGCCCTGGAATGAGTTCAGAAGTGGAGAGGTTTATAAATGTTGTACAGAAATAAAGTGCAGGAGTTCAACATGACAGTCCCTGTAGCCACACTGGGAGCTCACAAATGTGTCAGTCTGTATCTCTGTGTGTTTATGCATGCAAGTGAGTGCCTAGACAGATACCCCAAAGAGTCGCAAAGAGCACAGTGCCAAATTTATGCGCTGGGGCCTACGTCCGAATGCCACCTCTGAGGCAGGCTTGGTTGCTGGCAGTAAGGAGGAGGGTCTCCTCAGTGGTAGCCCCCAATTTAAGAAACAAGCTCCCGGTGCCAGCTCCACTGTCTTAACAGCACGAGGTTATGTCTGTCTCCTATGACCAGGAGTTTAATTAGCTTCAATATTTTGGGGGGTCATCATGTCAATTGCTTAACCAGCCTTGCCATTTTAATTCCTGTAAGCTATTGTCACTTTTTACATTTGGTTTTAATTTTGGCTTTTAATTTTTTGCATGTAATTTTTAGGATGTTATTGTTATCTGTACTTCATATTGTATGTTATTGTGTTTTATTTGCTATTGCAAACCAGCCAGGGTTTTATATCACTTTTGGGCTATATAAAAATAAAATTCGATATAACAATAGTAATAATAATTTAGCAGAGCCAGCTCGATTGTGCAGCATGGTGTACAAACCCAGACGACTGAGTTATTTAACCCCTGAACAGTGGTTAACCTAACAGGAAACCAACAGCAAACCAGTCTGGGTTTGCACGTCATGCTCTGTGAGCTCTGCAAAGCAGTCAGTCATGGGCTGTGTTGTACAGCAGGCAAGGCAAAGCTTTTTAAACCAGTGAGTTACTGTTATTTGTAAACCAGGGGATTGTTGCTGAGAAACTCCATCCCTCCTCACAGGAGGATTGCAGGTAAGATCAGAACAGGACGGTTTGGGAAAGGAGTGGCCAATAATATCATAGACACTGCTAATCAAAAAGTCCTAGTACGTCATCCCTGTGAATCTTGGCTCCGCTATGCTACTGGTTGTCTGTCCCCCAGATCTGCTGTTCAGAGGTATATAGGCTCTGCTGTTTCCATGTAGGGATTCTACTTACTTATCCTGGATTCTCTTTGCTGATAGATCTGTCCTTTCATTTCCAGAAATCGTTGCTGCCTCTGGCAGGAATCTATGATCTGGCTGATGGATGATGTTCACTTCCAAGATTTCTGTCCCATTGTACTCTATTCCTGATCTACATACTTTGTCCTTACTAGAAATGCTGTAGTATTTTGTGGACTACAAAGTAACATAAATACATTCATTCATTTATAGATAAAATTAAGTCTTTTGTGCAGAACCTCAGGCATTTCCTTGAGTTGGAAATGAACTGGAAAGGAAAGTCACAGTTGCATTCCAAGATGACAGGCGTATTTCAGCATGGTGCATTATTAGTCATGGTGCATTATTTGTCAGCCTCTCCGCTGCCCTTGAAGACAGGATGCTTGGAAGACAGGAAAATGTCACATTCCTCAAAGAGAGAAAACACTCTCAGCATAGTTGGGCAGTTCCTGAAAAAAGTTCTTAAATCTATACCCTATAAAACCACTTAAAAAGAATAATCGAGTATTAATCCCATACTCACTGCAGGGGTTCCACTTGGAATACTCATTACAGAGATTCCACATGTGCATCTTCTGGTGGCGCTAAGTTGGTATTTTCTGGACTCTGTCCACAAGTGTCTTCCCGGCACCAAAATTTAGATTGAAGACTCCCCCAGCAATGACTAGGTTGGGAGCAGGGGAAGAGCTTATGATTAAATCCACCTCTTGAAGACTTCAGCATTATTGTTCTCAACAAGACCCCAGAGTCCCCCAGGCTGCATCCTGGAAGTGAAACAGCTTTGCTGCTGCAAATTTAGTGAGTACTGCAGAGATTCAGTACGTGTCCTGAGCAGTCCCTTAATTTGCAATTACACTTGTATGTTCATAGACAAACTTTTTAATTATACCCAAAAGGACCTCATGGCATTCTCTTAATTGATCTCTGCTGGCCCCTTCTTAAGATACTTTCATAAACACACATCTGAGTTAACTTTTGAAATATTACAACAGCCCACAGAGAATTCTGGTTTTGTTGTCATCAGAGTGATACATGGTTCAGGTGTCACAGATATGGCCCTTTAATGTCTTGCCCTATTTCCTATCCAGTGACACATGGGAGTCATGTCAGGGAAAGGATATACTGAACAAGCCTGCTTGGCAAGGCCTGAGCAGGAAGTGGGCTAGAATATATTAAAAAATGGTTAAAATGTATACGGAAATTAGTATTTCGGGGGAATACTTTAAAAATAATGCAAATCTCCATTGTAAAACTAGAAATCAATGTGGAAATATGATGGAATTGACTTATGATGAGAAATAGATGAGAAACTGACACATTTTGTATTCTGTTTGGCACCAGATGAAGACTTTTTTAATTACCCAGCACTTCAACTTTTTAACTTTATTTTTAATATTACATTTTACCACGTGCCACTGTTATGCTCCTGTGCTGCTTCCATTGCGGTTGCTCTTGTTTCATTGCTTTAAGTTAATTTATGTTTGTATTTTTAAAAAGTTTTGTTAACTGCCTGGAGATCCTCAGCTATTAGGCAGTATAAAAATGAAATAAATAAATAAATAAAAGTGATTGTAAAGTGGAGGTTTCTTCCTCTTAGACCTGAATGAGCTGGAATTAGTATGGTCTGGCTGAGTGAACCCTCTAGGCAACCTCAAGCCAACCATAACAACAAGATTCTCTAGTCCTTTGGGATGAGTAACCCTGGAGCAATAATTCCTTGCTGTTACTCCATCTTTCAGCACTTCTTGACTTACTTAACTCCCACATGTTAAGGCCTTCTTACAAAAACATATGACATGTCCCTAAGATCAGCTTCTTTACCAGAAAACTGGAGAATGGCTTATGTAACACCATTCCAGGCAGATCCAGGAAATTATAGGGCCTGATCATATAGAGCAGAATGTCCTGCTGAAAAAGAATCAGCATGGCTTCTGCAAAACTAATTCCTATTTCACTAGCCTATTAGAGTTTGTTGAGCATGCCAATAAACATGTGGACAGGGTAATCTGATAAACATTTTATTTGGACTTCTGAAAGTTTTGGCAAAGACCCTCACCAAAGACCCCTGAGCAAACTTAGCAGTCCTGACATAAGGGGTGGGGGTCCGCTTATGGATCAGTAACTGGTTAAAACCAGAAAGCAGAGAGTGGGAATAATTGATAATTTATTGGATGCAAACTGTGGGGTCCTGCTGGGTTCTGTATTAGGACCAATCTTTTTCAACCTATTCATAAATAATGTGGCATTTAGAGTAAGCAGTGGAGTAGCCAAGTCTGTGGATAGCACCAAACTATTCAGTGTGGTGAAAACCAAAAGGGATCATAAGGAGATCCAGGGGGATCTCTCCAAGCTGGGAGACGGGGCATCCAAATGGCAAATGCAGTTCAGTGTAAGCAGTGCGTTTTTTGTAAAAAAAAAAAAAAGGTGCCGGAGCACACGTTGCCGCCTTGTGCGACCACACACACCAATCCCAAGCCGAGCAGCGTCCCAAGCCGGGCGGTGTGGACACAAAAGCAGCCCACAGGCACTATGCTAATGATGTTTGCTGCTGACCTGCTATGCTGACAGGCGATTCAAAATCACTTCATAAAATCCATCGGAAAAAAAGGTGCCGAAACACCATTCCGGTGCGTTTGATGACAAAAAAGGCCCTGAGTGTAAGCAAGTATAAAATAATGCAGGTCACGGCAAAGCATCCCAACATCAAGTATAGGCTGAGGGGATCTGAGGGTTCTTGGGGTGGTGATGGACAGTTCTGTGAAAATGTTGACTCAGTGCGCAGCTGCTGTGAAAAGGGCAAACTTAGGCATACTTAGGAAAGGAATTGACAATAAAACTGCCAAGATCACACTACCATTATACAAATGTGTGATGGGACCACACTTAGAAAATTGGGTGCAGTTCTGGTCACCACACCTGAAAAAGTACTTTATTGAGCTGGAAAAAGATCCGAGAAGGGCAGCAAAAATGTTCCAGAAGTTGCAGCTACTCCCCTATGAGGAATGGCTACAATAACCAGGCTTGTTTAGCTTAGAAAAACAGTTGAGTGAGGAAAGACATGACAGAGGTGTTCAAAATTATGCATGGTGTGGAGAAAGTGAAGAAGCAGACACTTTTTCCCTGTTTCACAGTACTAGATGGCAGGGTCATCCATGGAGCGGATCAGCAGGAAACCCGGGACAGATAAAAGGAAGTATTCCTTCACACAACACAAGCATTTAAACTAGGAAATTCACTGCTACGTTCATGGAGAAGGCTACTAGTCTTCATTCAGTCGAATCTGTGGTGCATTTCTCTGCCACCGCTACCTGCTGACACAAGCAGCAGCAGAACTGGAAGTTAGGGAGCAAAGCAGAAATGGTGGGGTTTTGCAGCTGGCCAGCAACAGGGGACTTGGGGAGAAGGGTCTCCCCGATGCTGTTCCCTATGGGGAGGGAAGAGAAATCAAGCTAGCCCTCCCTGCCTGAGTGTTTTGCTCCTTTGTAAGCATGCAGAAATGAGAGATTCATCCTAGGTCCCCAGCCATTCTTCTGCACAAAGAAACCCAGAACCACTTCTGGAACTTCATAATGCTTGGGAAAGTAAGAAACATGAAAAATGATCCTGATAATAACAGTAATACTACAGTGCATTGCAATA